AGTGGGGGAAGGAATAGTGTTCCATCGTTGGTGTCAGTGGGGGGTGGGCTAGTGCCCCATCGTTGGTGTCAGTGGGGGGAGGAATAGTGCCCCATCATTGGATAAATGTCCTCGGCCGGCTGCATGTGGCCCGCGGGCCGTAGTTTGAGGACCCCTGCTTTAGACCAATGGAACAAATAGCAGACAAGAAAAAATAAAAAGAAGATCCTAGATTGTAAGCTCTAATGAGCAGGGCCCTCTGTTTCCTATTGTACCAAATTGTATTGTAACTGTAATGTCTACCTTCATTTTTTAAAGCACTGTGCAAACTGTTGGCGCTATATAAAACCTGTATAATAATAATAATAATAAAAAAAAAAGAAAAAAAAACACAGCATGAAAAAGACTAGAAAAAAAAAAAAACAAGAAAAAGGAAGGGGGAGTGGGGGCCCTTCCCTATGGACACCCCACCTCAGTTTCACATGCTCAAATATAGTGGGAGACTAGGTCACAGGTAGGTTCTCAGTGTATCCGAGGTACCAAAGTCTTTCCAGGTCTGCCATATTGCTATTCATTTTGGATATTTCTCCTGTAGACTTGCTGTCAGCTCTTACATAGGCATTTTGTAATTTAATTCAGATATCCATTCCTTAATGCTAGGTACAGCTTTAGAATTACAATGTCGAGGTATGATAACCCTGGCCCTTTTTGGCCACCTGTGGTGATCCTTGAAAAATGGAAAGTAATACCGGCAGTTTGGGTAAGCTGTTGCCTGTAAAATGTGCAGTAATTTGAAATACAGCCTTCCAAAACGGTCTCAAATGCACACATGACCAACAACCAGAGACGTGATGATATCACTACTGTGCTGCTCATTCTTTGCTGGAGGCTTGGACGTGAGGAAGCAGAGCCCTATCTCTACAAAGATGGCCTCCTCCACACAAAGACATCGTACAGAACAAGGCATGGTAAGTAAGGAAGTCCACAGGAGACAGATGTTTGCTCTCTGCTTGCTTTTTTCTGAGCACAGTTTACAGAGTTCAGTTCTTAGAGCTTCACCCAGTGTTGCCAAACTCCCGCAGCAATTTCTACTGACAAAACATGGAAAATATACTGATGGAGCACATTTTGTACTGACAACCTATTAAAAACTATGACAATCAATATTTAAACAGTAAACACATATTGGAAACATTGTCAGTACCCATAACAATTATTAAAAAGTTAGCACAGCATGACAAATTCTCAGCCCGGTATTTACAGAGAGTTGTAAACATCACTGATTTCTACAAACTGTCTGTAAATGTACGGATGGTAGACAACCCTGGTTTGACCCTCCAGAACCTTTTAGATCCCTGACTCTCTTTATCCCCTCCACAACGTAACAATGGTTTACTTTTTCTTTTTTTGTCCATCCCCATCACCATTCACTCCTAGGCGAGAATGACATGTCTATGCTCAGGCAGCCACCTGGGATTACCCTGTCAGACATCCCAGAAAGCTTCAGGAACAGGGACGCACACAGGAAAATGGGAGAGCTGGAATGCATCATTGGAGGCCAGCTGCCTGAATCCAGAGGAAGTGACTGGCTGTTGCTGACTGAGGAAAACAATAAAGGTGGCATGGGGCGGTGATATTTGACCAGTGGATCACAGCAGGATAATGTTGGATCCCCTGGGCTGGTAATCATATGAATGGTGGACAATGTTGACAAATGGGGAAGGGGGGGGGTTAAAAAAAAAAAAAAAAAAAAGGGGAGGGAGGGACAAGTGAAGTTATCCTTCAAGGAACCCATTGACAGTATGATGCAGTTTTCATCAGAATCAGCAATATACATTTTTAGATTTGTAGCACCCTCCAAGATGGGTGCTAGGATGTAGATACTAAAGTAGTATGGTCTTCTGCCAAACAGGAGATTGTAAGGCAAATTGAGGATCTCTCTCTCTGCTTAACAGAAGATTTACAATTGCTAGCTAGTTAGCTAGTTCATCCTGTGTGACTCATAGTGCTGATGCATCTGGGTGAAGGTTCATCTGTGTCCAGGTAACCAGTGAAGATTCTGGGTGGATAGTGTGAGCCATGCAGAGGAGCAGTATGAATATAGATGAAAATACTAAATGTGCCAAGTCTATGACCATCAATATATGGGTACCACATCCCAAAATACTATATAATAAAAGGAGGAGTAGAAAATACTTGTGGGACTCTCCAGGTACCAGTCAACAACGCCATTAAAGTAAAGAATTACATTACTTATTTAGACAAGATTACAATTGTACACATCACACATGATGGGCCAATATGTGCTTTTTTCTTCTTAAATAAGTCGATAATGTTCCATCTGGAAAGATATCTTCAGATGGAGTCTGAGACCTTGAAACCTCAAAGCGTTTCTGAACAAGCCTTCATTAGGAGGAAAAGAAATGGAACTTTCCACATGGAACTTTATAGAGTTATTTAAGTATATAACTCATCTACAGTGAGTTACAGTAATACCTCGGTTTGTGAATTTAATTTGTTTTGCAGGACTTTTCATATAGTGAAAAATTTGAATGCATAGGAATGCATTGAAAACCAATTAATCCATTCCAGAGGTCTGAAAAAAGTAAAAGTGATACCACACAAGTTATTTTATCAAGTCATGTGATATTTTAGTAGTGACAACCATGTGTTAATGTTTCAGCTATCAGCAGGGTTCCCCACTGACAGCTGAATGTAAAAGAATTGCCGGCAATTAAAAAAATAATTTAAAAAACAGCATTGGGTCCCCCCTCCCATCCATACCAAGGCCTTCAGGTCACGCCAAAATTTAAAAAGAAATGGCATGGGGGTTCCCCCCAAAATCCATACCAGACCCTTATCCGAGCATGCAGTCCGGTAGGTCAGGAAAGGGAGGGGGGGGAAGAGCGAGCGCCCCCTCCTAAACCATATCAGGCCACGTGCCCTCAACATGGGGGGGTGCTTTGGGGCAGGGGGGCCTCTTTTCCACAACTCTGGCTGGTGGTTGTGGGGGTCTGTGGGCAGGGGGCTTATTGGAATTTGGAAGCCCCCAAATCCTGGCCTCCCCCTATGTGAATGAGTATGGGGTACATGGTACCCCATACTCATTCACAAAAAAACAAAAAGTGTAGTGTGAAAAAAGACAAGACATGGTCTTTGACAAGTCCTATAGGCTATAGGCCGGGTGGCAACTAGTTAATAAAGGACTTGTCAAAGACCATGTCTTCGTCCCTCCGGGTGGACGCCATATGGCGTCCTTTTCGGAGCGCGTATTGCGCATGTCAGCAGGGCCGCACTGCCGTGCGATCTGTCACTGGCCGTGTACCTGGGACATGGCCGATGACAGATCTGTGTATCTGTCCTGTTGCCAGTACCATGTGACCTGCTGTGACCAATCACAGCAGGTCACATGACAGTTGTATACAGTGGATGGCTTCCTTTCATGCCATCCATTGTATACAAGTGAGTCTAGCTGTGAATGGTCACAGCAATCACATGCACAAGCTGGGCCAATCACAGCCCAGCTGTGTCATGTGATTAGCCGTGGCCAAATCACAGCTAATCACACAAAAAAAAAACCCTGAATGAATCGATTTCATTCAGGTAAATGCTTGCTTATAGCAAAGTAATTATTTGCTATAAGCAATAGTGTAAAAACAAAAAAAATACTGATCACTTCCCCAAAGTAGTACAATGTTACTATGGTAACATTGTACTACTTTGGTCATCGTGAAATATGAAAAAAAAAATCTTAAAAGAGAAAAATTTATTAAAAAAGAATACAAAAATAAAAAAAAATCATCAATTTTTTTTTGTGCTGTCACCAGTCAGTGTCCCTGATCACCTCCATGCCAGTTATATGATGATGCTGTACTGCACTGGTGACAGTATGTAAAAGAAAAAAAAATAGTGAAAATAATTTTTTTAATTCTTTCTCCGAAAAAGTATGACAAAAAAATTACACCTTCAAAAAACTCACCATGCCTGTTATCAAATACGTTGGACTGTCTACTTTGCAAAAAGGGGTCATTTGGGGATATCTGTACTGTTCTGACATTCGTGGACCTCAAGAAATTAGATTGGCTTTCAGTACTTCAGGATCGATCAATTTTCAGATATATCCCATAGTTTGTGAACTCTATAACTTTCCTACAGACTAAATAATAAATACTAATTTGGGTTATTTTCAAAGAAATTTAGTAGGATACATAGCGGCCTAAATTTATGAAGAACAATTATTTATTTGCAAACTTTTATAACAGAAACAAAGAAAAACTTGTTTTTTTTTCAAAATTTTCTGTCTTTCTTTGTTAATTTAGCAAAAAATAAAAACCCCAGTGGTGATTAAATGCCACCAAAAGAAAGCTCTAGTTGTGTGAAGAAAATGATAAAATTTTAGTTTGGGTACAGTATAGCATGACCGCGCAATTGTCATTCAAAGTGTGAGAACGCTGAAACCTGAAAATTGGCCTGGGCAGGAAGAGGTTAAAAGTGCCCTGTATGGAAGTGGTTAAAAGAAAAAATGAAAAGAATGTCCCCCGCAGCTGATCCAACATCAATCACGATGACCGCCATCCCTGCCACTGCCGACCCAAAAAAAGCTTCTGAGGTGGCTGGACAGTTATTAACTATGTAAGGGGCGGGGCCACCCAGGGACATCACCCTAGTGACCCCACCCCATGTGACATCATTGATGTCACATGGGGTGGAGTCACACATGTGATGTCCCCGGGTGGCCCCTCCCCTTACATAGTTAAGAACTGTCAAACCACCGGAGCAGGCAGACGGTTGGAAGCCATCGTCGGGAGAGGAGCCTTTTTTTTAATTTCTTTTTTCGGGTCGGTAGCGGCGGCGAAGGTAGCACATTTTCCATAGTAAAGGTTCTTGCATGCTTCACCTTAAAGCATAACGGCTATTTCACCACCATATACCTTTTTTTTTTTTTGCTCCATAAGACACACTTTTTCCCCCAAAAAAGGGGGGAAAATGTCAGTGCGTCTTATGGAGCGAATATAGAGCGGCCGTCTGGTATTTCCACCGCTGACACCGTGTCAGAATACCGGGCCAACCGCTCAGCTCTTCTCTGCAGCAGGACCTTACCTTAGTCTTCCCCGTCGGCATCTTTAGTGTGGGAACCCGGCTGTGACAGCCGGGTGCTCACTGCGCACGCGCGTGAAGCGCTGCGCTTTGTGAATGGCCTGGCGTCTTCTGGGACCTGTCATGTGTCCCAGAAGACACCGGGCTATTCACAAAGCGCAGCGCTTCTCGCGCATGCGCAGTGGCCACCCGGCTGTCACAGCCGGGTTCCCACACTAAAGGGAGGACATCAAATTCAGGTACCCACTCCCCCTCCCTCCCCAAAGGTCCACGGTCTCCTTGTGATCCCTTGTACTGTCTGCAGTCTCTGGTCATTTGCTGTACTGTTGGCAGTCTCTGGTCATCTCCTGTACTATGTCCGCTGTCTCTGGTCATCTCCTGTACTATGTCCGCTGTCTCTGGTCATCTCCTGTACTATGTCCGCTGTCTCTGGTCATCTCCTGTACTATGTCCCCAGTCTCTGGTCATCTCCTGTACTATGTCCGCAGTCTCTGGTCATCCCCTGTACTGTCTGCAGTCTCTGGTCATTCCTTGTACTGTGTCTGCAGTCTCTGGTCATTCCCTGTACTGTGTCTGCAGTCTCTGGTCATCCCCTGTACTGTGTCTGCAGTCTCTGGTCATCCCCTGAACTGTGTCCGCAGTCTCTGGTCATCCCCTGTACTGTGTCCGCAGTCTATGGTCATCTCCTGTACTGTGTCCGCAGTCTCTGGTCATCTCCTGTACTGTGTCCGCAGTCTCTGGTCATCTCCTGTACTGTGTCCGCAGTCTCTGGTCATCCCCTGTACTGTGTCCGCAGTCTCTGGTCATCTCCTGTACTGTGTCCGCAGTCTCTGGTCATCTCCTGTACTGTGTCCGCAGTCTCTGGTCACCTCCTGTACTGTGTCCGCAGTCTCTGGTCATCTCCTGTACTGTGTCCGCAGTCTCTGGTCATCTCCTGTACTTTGTCCGCAGTCTCTGATCATCTCCTGTACTATGTCTGCAGTCCATTGGTTCAGAATATTTTTCTTGTTTTTCTCCTCTAAAATCTAGGTGCGTCTTATGGAGCGAAAAATACGGTAACTTAGTGGGAAACAAGAGGATTCCTTTGATAAGGACCTCAAAAAGGTACCCACTAGGAAAAACTCCACTGGGGACTCTCTAGAAAAAAATATGCCCTGAAGCCTTAATTAGGCTAGGTTCACATCTGTGCGGGTGGTGCCGCTGCGGATCCATATGAAAATCCGTGCAGCCACACAGAGAAATGCGGACCCGCGGGCAGGTGCCATTAGTTCTAATAGCACGCCGCCCGCACTGGAAAACGCAACCGTACTGGAAACCGAGGTTCCCGTGTGGGCTGTGTTTTCAGAAGTGCAGGGACGTCTTCCCTGCGTGTCATGGGGCACGGGAGCCCATTCAAGTGTCCGTACAAAACGCAGCCCGCACGGCCGCATATATGTGAACCGGGGCTTATGCCCTAAGCAAAAACAACCAGGCAAAGCTCACAATGACTAGCAAGTCTAAATATTCAGAATGCTTTATATTAACAGCTCTAACAGAGACTGCTGAATATAATCAATAGCAACTGGTAGATGCAGCACTATGCACTTTGAGAAACCTAAATACTCCAGCAGAGCACAGAACAAATGCCCAGAATAGAGAGCAATAGGTACTTGCAACTAGTTAGCCAGTATACATTTTAGAAAAAATGAATATACTTACCAAATTCTCCAGGGGCGTCGCCATTCCTTTGGCTCCCTCCAGCGCTTTACTGAAAAACATAATAAATTCTACATTAGAAAATGGCAGATTTGCCCTTCTAATAAATGTCACCATACAGCTGAACCACAGGGCTGCATTGGTGTTTTTCTTTTTCTTACAGAAAGATATAAAACACTTGTTGGCAGCCAACTAATTTCACCCCACTAAGATCAATGTGCTGGGGAGATGATAGTTAACAAGTGATTAAATTATTGTTTTGGTTTTTTTATTACGCACACCAGATATGTACTTACAATAAAAACCAGCCCTGTGACTAACATATTTTTAACTACATAAAAAAATATCAGGAATAAAAACGTTGGTATGGTCCTTCATACCAACTTACACGCTAAAACGCATTTTTTTTACACTCAGCTGTCAGCGGATCACGAATAATCCATTGATAAAGATGTGGCTGGTGGCTTGCTGGCCCACTCCTTAACGTAAAGCTAGAAAAATGCTGGAAACTGGCTTAGCAGCATTTAGGAGTGCTCAGCATTTTTTTCTGTTGGCAAATTGCTCCCAAAAATGCAAAAAAAAAAAAAAAAAAAAGCATTTATTCTACTCCTAGAAGCTGAAGCTTGAAATATGCTTCTAGCCTACAACAGTGTGCATGGGCACATAGGGTAACACTATTTGCTTCTAGGGGCAGAATAAAAAATGCTCACAAAAGTAGCTGCTAGGAGCTTAAAAATGAGCTAGTGTGCATGGAGCCTACAAACAGATGTAGCAAACTGTTTTTTTTCCTTTTGAGATAAAGGTTAACAAAAATTTTGTACGCACACCTGCTATTTTTCAATAGTTTGTCTGATCTCTGTAACTGCCACATCCTGCTGGAGAGCATGTTCTTTTGAAAAACAACAGACTTACTAGTTGAATCACAAGATGAAAAAATAGAAGAAAGCCTAAAAAAAGAAAATTAATCACATATCCTAAGGGCCCTATTACACTAATCGTTTTTTGATGTGCATTTGTTGTCTTCCTATTGACTTACATTGGAAGACGCTTTTGAAAAGCTACACCAAAGATGCAGCACACAGGACTTTTCAAAGCGCAGTCCACCTGCAGTGTTGAGCGTTGCATGGGATTTAAAGGGACACTTTTTCATACATTTCTCTTCCACTTTTTAAACCTAAAAAGTGCATCAAACACTGATCAGTGTGAAAGGGCCCTAAGAAATGGTAAATTTCAATATAATAAAGGTTTATTTTTGGGTTTAGTACTGCTTTAAGATTATTATTATTCATTATGATTTATTTAGGGTGTTATTCACTTCAGTCCTTTTAAAAAGGGGTTACTTTCCTGTACCCTGTTTGTAGTTAACCCTTTAAGATTGCAAGCTCTTTCGAGAATAAATCTTATGCATACGGACTTATGTATTTATGATGTTCTTGTTATAACCTGTATGACCTTGTGTCCCCATGGCAGGTATTGTAACATTTTCTTAACTAATTATTACAAAAAATGAATGTACAAAAGAAAGACAAAAAATCTGCATCCTCATCTGCATTGTTTGGCTATGAAGATTTTAGCGGAGATCATTTTTTTTTATTGCTTTAAGACCATTATTACTCATTTGATAACCTGAATGTATTGCCATCAAAAATCATATCTGTGCACCATTTGTAAAAGTTGAACAGTTCAAACCAGCAGTATCCATCACGTTAAACTTTTTGCATACTGGTATTTGCAGATACATTGGTATATTAATTTGTATGTGATTTTAAGTCGGTAGAACCCCTTCTAAAACTGCATAGCATGCATTCAGTCTGGTCATGCACATTGCGTAATGTATGCTTTCCATGTCAATGTATGCATAACCTTAGTCACCCTGGATTTTAGCCTTGTGACCCAGAAAAGGTTTTGTTTTCTTTATATGACCTTGTTCTAAACATTTTAAAAGGCACCCTAACCCTATTTATATATTACATACAAAGTGAGTATTAGCAGGTGTCTAAATGTTGTACAATTTTATTCTAGCCTCTCATCAATAATATCTCAATAATATCTAATATATCAATATCTCCCTAAAGGTGCTCTCTTAGGATTCTCTTCATTACTGAAAATTCAATGCTGGTTAAACTTTCACACAACCAAGTTTAAAATGTCATGCCAAATGACAAATGATTAAATAGATGGCGCAAGCTGGCCACAGACACAATCTTCTATCCATGGTGACCTTTATGTTTCTAGTAACCTGAAGACTGTCCCCATGGATCTCTGCTGTGTGATCTCTTCAGCTATGCCTAAAAAGTTTAGAAAACTGGTAGTTTTAAACTTCGAATGCCTAGTAAACACGATGAGAAAACCAAACCAAAAATATAGTTTTTGAAACGATCATCCGATAATCTGATCATTAGGATGATTTTGCATGAACTTTCGTGATCGTTTCTCGAGCTGTGTACTAAGACACGAGCACGAAAATGTTTCTCATACAATACCAGAACAAACGATTTTCATTTATTTAGTAAAGTATTCATTAAAAAAAAAAATAAAACCATAAGACCAAGGCCACACATGCTCAGAAACAAAAGAATACATTACATCACTACCGAAGTTGTATTGTGTCATAGGCAGGGGTGGACTGACAACTCATGGGGCCCCTGGGCAATAGGGGATCATGGGGCCCCTGTGTCCTCGCCCACATCCAAAAAAGCCTATGAAAAAGCCAATGAAATGTACCAGGGGCATCTCATGGGGCCCCTACTGAGTCCAGGCCCTCGGGCAGTGCCCAAATGCTTGAATGGTCAGTCTGCCCCTGGTCATAGGAGAATTTTCATAACTTTAAGTAACCTCTTTATTTTTTCGATATAAAGGCGGCCATAGATTTGCGAAAAATCCTGCGATTTTTTGGACGACTTTAAACTCCACCGATAATCTAGTTGCGTATGGGCAATTTTGTCTGTGGATTTTCGTATTTTTTTGTCTTTTTGAATATCGTTGTAGCTGGAAAATGTTTAGAAATCGACCGAATTACTGATTTCATGCAGCCCTGTACTGAAATTTATGTCCTTTTTTTCACTCAAATAGAGCTTTCTTTTTATGGTATTTGGGTTTTTTATTTTTTTGTGAAACAAAAAAAGACCGAAAATTTTGAAAAAAGTTATTTTTTTTTACATTTGATTATAAAAAATATCAAGTAAACTGAAAGTTAGTCATAAATTTATGCTAAAATGTATTCTGCTACATGTCTTTGGTAAAAAAAAAATCCCAATACGTGCATTTTGATAGGTTATAGCATCTACAAACTATGATTATATATATATATATATATATATATATATATATATATATATATATTTATTTCAAATTTGCGCAGCTTTTACTTTCTGACTGCCTATCACATTTCTAATATGCCAGGGCAGTACAAATCCCTCCACCCCCAAATGACCTCTTTTTGGAAAGTAGAAACCCCAAGGAATTTTCTGAGAGGCATGTTGAGTCAATGGAAGATTTTTTTTTGCCACAAATTTTTGGAAAATGGCAAAACTTTTTTTTTTTTTTTTTACACAAAGTTGGCATTTGAATGATATATTGCACACGCATGCCAGGGATATATGTGAAATAACACCCCAAAACACATTCTGCTACTTCTGAATATGGGGATACCACATGTGAGAGACTTTTTGGCAGCCTAGCTTCATAAAGGGCCCTGAAAATCCAATGACCACCTCCAGGCTTTCAAGGGGGATATTTCCTCATGTCACTTCCTCACTACCTATCACAGTTTCGGAGGCCCTAAAATACCAGGACAACACAAACACCCACCAAATTACACCTTCTCGGAAAGTAGACACCCCAAGGAGTATTGGCATGGGGAGTATTTTGTGAGTATAATTTTTGTTACAGGATTTTGAAAAAAAAAAAAAAGAAAAAAAAATTTTTCCTTTTCTTTCTTAGTTTTCCAGAAGCTTGTGGAAACAAATGAGATCTGCAAAATACTCACCATGCCCCTTAGCAAATACCTTGGAGTATCTGCTTTCCAAAAAAGGGGTCATTTGGGAGGTGTGCTT